GAGGCGGCGGTGTTTTCTGTAGCCCTATATAACTCCAACAACATTGGAGGAGTTGGTAGAATCGCTGAATCACTAAAGAAGGAACCCTCTACCACCATCACTACGACCTTCTACCACTATTACAACTGTTACCACCATCACTGCTACCTTCTACCACCATCACTACCACCATCAACCACTATCACAACTGCTTCCACTCTACCACCACCACCTTTGTATTTTTCTACAAACTTTTTCATAAATTATGTGTTTCTCACATTCTTTACCAAAGGGCTGGCACTAGAAGCTTTCTTTGGAGCCAAGGTAGCTTATTTAGCACTTGCAAGCACTAAAATCAATGGAATATTATGAAATATTTCGTAGGAGCATGTGGGGGGACTGTCACTCACTGGTAAACAATGGCACACTGGCTGGGAAGGCAGGCCGAGGCGGCTCAGAGCGTGAGTACGCGTCCCGGATGAAGGACAGTTAGCGAGTTAAGGGACCATTTGCAAGCCAATGTTTAGACGAAATAACTGGACTATTTCCGAAATGGACGACTTTCAGGCCGGACAATTATTGAGGGACCACTGTACTAAAAATGTTATAAATGGTACAAAGGTGACGTTAAAACAATATCAAAGATGGTTGACACAAACCCACTACCTTTATACTATTCTCCTTCCTTAGTGACAAATTCATTTTCCGACATGGTCTTAGGGATGGAGCTCCATTATTAACCAATTGACTGTCGCAACCCCCAATCCTGAGGTGTCTCCTGGTGTCGCAAAGTTTAAAAAAAAAAAATTATTTTTTCTTATGAAATGATAGAGAATCTTTTCCCAATTGTAATGATACAAAAAAAAATTGATGGAAAATTGACGGAATTACACTCTTGCGAAGTTAGCGACCTCGGTGATATTTACGAATCGGCAATTTTGCCCACTTTGAGCCCTATTTTCGGCTAATTCCATTGTTCCAGTCGACCAAACTCATAGCTGTTTCTTTAAAACTGTTTTTTCTATCAATTGAGCACAAGAAACAGCCCATTTACCGATTTCAACTACTCAATAACGTGGTCAGAAATTTGCAATTTGGCCAATTTCATGAAAATTACAAAATATGACAATTTCAAAATAAGGTTCAGAATGAACAATGCAGACATTCCTGGATCTAAAATAACATTTTCTTTGTTCATCAGTCACGTCTCCAGGCCCCTCTGATATTACTCTTGCTTTCTATTTTGAATTTTTATTCAAACAAAAAATAGAAGATTTACTGTTATGCAGACTACTGCAATACTGTAATAATTGTACAGATAATGTCAACCCATTCATGACTGCATATTAGAATGGCTAGTTGGACATTTATTGGACAATGACATCATTTGTTTACTTTTGAACATCAGCAAAAATCAAGCATTTTCCCTACTTTGAGCTCCATTTCCAGGTTCTTTATATAGTAAAACCAATCAAAATCACCTCTATTTCTATAATATGTTTTCCATTCTATCAAATGAGACCAAGAAAACAAGAATACAACCTTAAATACTATACGAAAATAGACCACAAATTCGGCATTCTAACCCTTAAACGGTCCAAACGTATATATACGTTCACTCGCGTAGCGCCCCAAATTTTTTGAGAAAAAAAAAATCTTTTCTTTCAAAAGGAAAAAAGAGCATACGGTACCCAGGCATCCCCAGTTATTTTAATATGGCACACAGTGAGTACGCACACCCATTCTCTCATGTCTAGGTGACTCAGGCTTATTGTGGCAATGTTGAATGAATGACAAAGAAAACGTATATATACGTTTGGGGCGCTACGCCCATGAATGTATATATATGTTTGGACCGTTTAAGGGTTAATTAAAAAAATGGTCGGAGTTTTTTTTTTTCTCATTATACACTGCGTGCTCCAGGATTTTTTTTATATGGTGCGCACCGACCACACAGACCCATTCTCTCACATGTGGGCCTACCAGCTTTCTCCTGCTTGATTTGAAGCCGCTAGAATTTATGAGTATATACTATATGTCAAACGCGGTACCTCGTAAGACGTATATATACAACCGAAACAGACAAAGGGTTAAGTGAGAAGAGGGTGTACTATGTACTGTATAGGTGTATTTCACATAGAGTGGAACCCCGGTTTTCGAACTTAATCCATTCCAGAAGGTCGTTGTAAAAACGAAATGTGCGAAAACTGAATCAATATTTCCCATAATAAATAATGTAAATACAATTAATCCATTCCAGACACCCAAATATATTCACAAAAAATTCATTTTTTAACCCTTTGAGGGTCGACAGGCCCTCTCCAAGACTCGTTATCAGGGTCTGCCAAATTTAAAAAAAAAAAATTTTTTTTCTTATGAAAAGATAGAGAATCTTTTCCCGGTCTTATTGACACCAAAAGTATGAAATTTGATGGAAAACTTACGGAATTATACTCTCGCGAAGTTAGCGGTCTCGACGATGTTTACGCATCGGCGATTTTGCCCACTTTCAGCCCTATTTTCAGCCAATTCCAATGTACTAGTCGATAAAAATCATAACTATTTCTCTAGAACTCTATTTTTTCTATTGAATGAGTACAAGAAACCACCCATTTGCTGATTTCAACTATCCAATACAGTGGTCAGAATTTAGCAATTTTGCCAATTTCACACAAATTTCAAAAGATGCCAATTTCCAAATAGGGTCCAGAATAAACAAGAAAGACATTCCTGGCACTAAAATAACATTTCCTCTGTTCGTTAGTCACATCCCCAGGCCCCTCTTATATTTCTTTGGCTTTCCACTTTCAATTTTTATTCTTACAAAAAATAGAAGATTTACTGTTATGCAGACTGCTGCATTAGTGTAGAAATGGTATAAATAATATCAGCGCACTTGTGAAAGAATATTAGACTCACCAGTTGACGTGTATTGGACGCTTGGCATGATTTGTTTACTTTTGAACTTTGGTAAAATCAACATTTCTGCTACTTTGAGCTCAATTTCAAGGTACTTTTCATTGTAAAATCAGTCAAAATCATCTCAATTTCTGTAATATGTCTTCCATTCTATAAAATGAGACCAGGAAAACTAGAATACAACAATAAATACCATACGAAAATGCAGTGCAAAGTCACTGTTTTAATCCAAAAACACGGTCAAAGTTTTTTTTTTCTCATTATGCACTGTGTGCTGCAGGATTTTTTTCATACTGCACACACTGACCACATAGACCCATTCTTTCATATGTAGGCCTACCAGCTTTCTCTCACTAGATTTGAGGGCGCTAGAACTTAAGTGTACTTGTACGTCAAAATCTCTGGTGCGTAAGCTGTACTAGTATGGCCGAAACCCTGAAAGGGTTAAGGGTTAAACAGTGATGAGACTGCTAGATTTTTCTTTCTCATGAACACACATAATGACAGGTAAATCTTATAGATTTTTACTTTCATTTACAAGTACACTTAACTTTTCTGTATGTTTCTTAACCCATTCAGTGTCCAAACTCCCAAAATTAATACGTATTGCTTTCAGTGTCCAATTTTTAAAAAAACAATTCTTTTGAAATGGGAGAGAAACTTCTTCTGAAGGAAGTGACACCAAAGGTACAAAATTTGATGGAAAATTTATGAAATTACACATAAACGATTTTGCTCACTTGAGTCCTATTTTAAGCCAATTCTATTGCTCCATTGACCAAATTCCTTCCATTCTATTGACTGAGTACAAGAAACCATCCATTCAACTATTGCAACTACCCTATAAAGGAAAGAAATTGATAATTTGGGCAGTTTTACACAAACTGAACACACATTACACATTATAGAATCGTGGCCAGCTGGCTGAATACGTATTACACATTACAGAATCATTTTTTTTACTTAGGGCATAGGTTATAGGACATTCTGGCAGGATGACACTACCAGTCCTATCAAAATTGAAAGGATGTGCCATAAATGTTGCACATGGGTTATTATCTAGGTTTTTGATATTTCCTTGACCACTTGTGGCCACATCCACCTCAAAGCCACCAAACTCAGGGTCAGCCTCGCTTTCCTCTTAAAAGGAGTGTTAATATGACATGGCATTAGTGAATCCCTGGGGTTTGCCACACTGTTTGCTCTAGCTGGTGCTCCCACAAGGTACTAAGTGGTCCCAGATTTTTTTTAATACTGCTCACACTGAGTGTTAAGACCCACCCTGTACTGCCTAGGCCTCTCAGACCTATCATGCCAAATTTGGAGGCAGGAAAAATAAAATGTCAATCTACCTTTGGAGCACTAGCAGTAAGAACATAGATCAACGTCTGGACAGTTAAAGGGTTAATAAGTGTGACTAGTTAATGGTCGAGTCAGACCAATATGTAATCATAAGTTTGTCTCCTATGTGCGGGTTATTTGTGTACTGTTCTAGTCATGGTATTATGACTTTTTTATTCTTTATGCTTCGATGTTTCAAGACGAAAAATGACTAGGAAGCAAGTTTAATTCACCAGGCAACTGTAACAATTCTTGGGGTTATCATCCCAGTGGCTTGTCCCCTGATCAGGCCTCCTGGTTGATGGATGCACTTCAGCTGCATTAGAGGGAAGGGGAATTTTTTTAATGGGCTTGGGTTAAAATATCCATTTGACGAATTAGTTTTACATGGGCATATATCAAAGAGGTCACAGTATACTGAAACCTCTTTAAGCAAAATTTACCTGTGCAACATATAAAATTTCAGATTAAGATTCTTTTCGTGGTTACCCCCCTCAAAAATGGAGTTTTCGGATAAAGCAGAATATCAAAGGTACAGATCAATTTTTTAATTTTTGGGGGGAGCAGCTTTGTATTACTGAAACTTGAAACTGATGTACTTATTAAAAAAACATGAAGCAAATGTGGATACCATACTGCTGTGAACTAATAACAAGGAGTGAAGAATGTGTCTTAAGGGTTTTTTTTCATTGGAAGATTTCCTGCTCATTGTAAACGAAGCTAAGAGTATTATTTTGAAGGCTGCTTGAGGATATACTAACTGTCCATCCACCACCATCAGTTTCCATGTCACAGTAGACAAAGAAAGGAGCTGTAGCATAGCTTGGTCGGATGCGGTACACCCCAGACTTGTTTTTACCCTGCATATGTAGCTTCCAGCAATCCTCAGCCTCTGTAGGAAACACTGAATAATGTGTGAAAGTTATGACATTAATCACATGTAAGTTTTTAGTAAGACACATTGTGATACCACCTGGAATCAAGCAAACTGACTGTCTTCTCTTCTATATTCTTGAGTTTTTCGGTAATTGCTTCAGTATTTGTCTTTATTTTTTGTCTTCCAGAGTTAAATGTTCTTGATTTACTTAGACTACTTAAAAACTCATTGTACCTTTATGTACATGTAAGTAATTACCTATTTGTAGTTACAGTAGTAGAGTTATGCTCATGGTGTATACAGTGCATGCAAAAGAAATCTATACATGTCCAGTGCAAAAACAATCTATACATGAGATTTTGGTGCTTGCATTTCACTTGCGTTTCCGCCATAGGAAATGTGCACGGAGCTTGTGTACTGGAGCCCGTCTTGGTCCATTGTTCCCCACCATGCCACGCTTCAGTGCTCTGCCAGAGCTCAGTGAGGAAGGAGGCCTGCTACGTCATTCCTCAGTGCCCCTTTTTTCACTTAACCACGAACTTCGCCACACTATATCTCCACTGCATCTGGTCACAATGGATCGAACTAAATGATCAATTGCAGAGAAGACCCGTGCACTCACCCTATTAGAGCAAGGCATGTCTGTGATACGCATAGCTGCAGACCTGAAGGTGACGAGGATGGGTCGAACTAAATGTTCAATTGCAGAGAAGACCCGTGCACTCATCCTATTAGGTGAGCGCACCTAGGTGATGAGGATGGCAATTTACAGCCTCAAGAAAGCAGCTGCTGCACTCCCACCTGGTACTATACCACCCAGGAAGATGGGCTGTGGGACCCCCAAAAAGACATCTCTTTGCACTTCCCTCTTCAGGATCTTATCTGTGTGAAGAGAAGTCTTTTTGGGGGCCCCAGAGACCACCTTCCTGGGTGGTACGGTGCCAGGTGGGAGTGCGGCAGCTGCTTTCTTGAGGTTGTAAATTGCCATCCATGTCACCTAGGTGCACTCACCTAATAGGATTAGTGCACGGGTCTTCTCTGCAATTGAACATTTAGTTCGACCCATTCTGACCACTTGCAGTGGAGATATAGAGTGGCAAATTTTGTGGTCAAGTGAAAAAAGGGACACTGAGGAACAACGTAGCAGGCCTCCTTCCTCACTGAGCTCTGGCAGAGCACTGAAGCGTGGCATGGTGGGGAACAATGGAGCCAAGATGGGCTCCAGTATACAAGCTCCACCCATGTTTCCTGTGGCGGAAATGCAAGTGAAATGTATGCACCAAAATCTTGCGTATAGATTATTTTTGCATTGGACATGTATAGATTTCTTTTGCATGCACTGTATTTTATTTGGAATATCCATGCACTTCTGGAAAGGCAACTAGGGAACAAGTGATGTTGAATGTGTTCCCTTCTTTTGATCGCTTTTTTTTTTTTTTTTTTTTTTGGAAAGTGCCATTGTGTTAAACAAAATTTGTTTAATGTTTTCATTTTGTGAAATGTGAGTGTGTACTGTATTGTACTTGGGTAGTTAGTGATAACCTCTGTATACGAATGTGTGTGAAAGGTGGTGGCCTTACCCTTAGTGCTTATTACATAGCTCATGATATTCACACCACACATTGTCCTTAGGCATGACATCTCCACTGCCTCCAGCCTCCTCCTCGCTGAAACATTTAAAACCTGTGCTTCACACCCATGTAAAAGTGTTGGTACTACTATACTCTTGATACATTACCCCTTTTTATTGCCTCCATAGATAACATTCTCTGTCTCCACAGATGTCTCGATGCACCACACACCTTTTTCTCCCTCATCAATTCTATGGTTCACCTTATCTTTCATAGACCCATCTGCCAACAAGTCTGTTCCCAAGTATCTGAAGACATTCACTTCCTTCATACTCCCTCCTTCCAATCTAATAGCCAATCTTTTATTGACTAAATTTTTTATTACTCATTCTGAGATTGTAGCTAATGTACAGTATGGCAATAGAATATTTTTTATAAGTTTTACAGAACTTTGGTAAAGTGCCTTCTAATAGTTTCACATTTATTTTCTTTAAGCCGTGGACTGTATATTGTTCTTTTAAAAAAGTTAAATGAAAACAGTGATGGAACATACCTGTGAGGACCTTACCCTGATTACCTGGCCCTCGTCTGAGGGCCTGAGGCTGAATCATCTGTGCTAGCATGGACATAGATGGTGAGGAATCCTTGCTTCTTATTTCATTGAGAGTCTGACGCATGTATTGCTTTGTGGCTATATTTTGACTCAGTTGGTTGATGTTTCTAGAAAAATAAAGGATGTCGTACAGTATTTTACACATTATTATTTTAGTGAAGTGATGATTTTAAATACTATAGCAGTATAAGAGTAGTCAAAATAGTTGGAGAATAGCCAGTAGCATTAGGGAGGCTGTGGGATGTCCACTTTATTTTTTTTTTTTTTTTCAGCCAGACTATGCTGTGTGAGCAGGGCATTGTCATGGTGAATGAGCCAGTCATTGAACACCCACAGTACCAGATGTTTCCTTCTTATGTCTTCCCTCAGATGTCTTGGAACTTCATTGTAAAAATTTTGATAACTGTCTGCCCTGCTCGAGCCTATTCTGGATGAATGATTCCCACTTTATCAGTAAAAAAAAAAAAAATGAGTATGCTCTTTACTTGGCATGCCTTTTTTTTTGGGGGGGGGGGCCTGGATGAGTTAGGTTTTTCCACTGTGAAGACTTGCTTGGGCTCTGGGACATAGCTGTAGACCCAAGTTTTGTTTCTAGTAATGACCTTAGAAAGAATACCTGGGTCATCCTTGTTTTTTGTGAGGATGACCCAGATATTTTGAGTCAGCAAGTGTGGCACAAATTTCACAGTTACTTGACTCTTGTTCAAATTTTCAGTAAAAATATTTTGACACAACCCATAAGAAATCCCTTGAGCACTTGCAGTGTCCTTGTTGTGGGGGAAAGAAGCAGACCGGTTCATTTGATACTTCGAGTGTACTCAGATAGCTGGTTGACTTTAGTCCAGGGGAAAACCTCTGTTCACAACAAGGGTTTAAAATGGTAGAATGACCTTCAGCTTTCTTTAAGGATGACCAAAACTCAAAAATAAAATCGTTAATTTAATTAAAGTAATAAACTCAGAAATATTTTCATTTTCTTATGAAAGTGAGTTTCTTAGGGCCCATTATTCAAAGGGCACAATTATATATATACATAAATATTGTCACAGTTACATTGATACACCAGGAATGTAGAAATCCCCATAGTATAGTCAGACAATCCTTATAGGACATATGTAATAATCAGTACATCTCTGACAGCTTTTATCAAGGCAGTATATCCGTACAACAAGTTACACCAATATTCCCATGCAAGGGATCAGAATAAGTTTAGAGACAGCTAGCACTTGAGAGGTGTTCCCATGCAAGGGAGTACAAGAGAAGGTTCTGCTCAGTAGTGAGTAGGTGAACCAACTGACTGCACTAGTCAACAGAGATCCGAGGTCAGGTATGATCACGTGACCAGCGGGAGGTTGGCAGGTCAATGAATGGGTAACCGGCACTCTAATTAGTGGTATACCACTACTTGAAAATCACATACTTAATCATAAAAACCTAACAAAATACACAATAATTATAATATTTACAATGGTGTTGGACATTACAGTGGACCCTCAGTTAACGATATTTTTTCACTCCAGAAGTATGTTCAGGTGCCAGTACCGACCGAATTTGTTCCCATAAGAAATATTGTGAAGTAGATTAGTCCATTTCAGACCCCCAAACATACACGTACAAACGCACTTACATAAATACACTTACATAATTGGTCACATTCGGAGGTAATCGTTATGCGGGGGTCCACTGTATTTCTATACTATGGTATTTGCAATGTCAGGTAATACTATAAAATGAACCACCTCCATTTTAGCTATTAATGGAGAATGTTGCAATATAATATTAGGTAGAAACACTGTATATAACGTTCTTTAACTTATAATAACACAATCTTAGTCAAAGATGCAACACCTACCTACCTAGAGGGTATTCCGGGGATCAACACCCCCACAGCCCGGTCCATGACCAAACCTCTCAGTGGATCGGGGCTTGATCAACTAGGCTGTTACTGCTGGCTGCACGTAGTCCAACGTATGAACCACAGCCTGGCTGATCCTGCACTGACTTTAGGTATCTGTCCAGCTCCCTCTTGAAGGTAGCCAGGGGTCTACTGGTAATTCTCCTTATGGCTGGTGGGAGGCTGTTGAACAGTCTTGAGCCCCGGACACTTGTTGTGTTTTCTTTTGGTGTACTAATGGCACCCCTACTTTTCACTGGGGGTATGTTGTACTGCCTGCCAAGTCTTTTGCTTTCGTAGGGATTGATTTCTGTGTGCAGATTAGGGACCAGTCCCTCTAGGATTTTTCAGGTGTAGATTATGATGTATATCTCTCACCTGCACTCCAGTGAGTACAAGTCTAGTGCTTCCAAGCATTCCCAGTAGTTAAGGTGTTTGACGGAAGTTGTGTGTAGTAAAGGTTCTCTGTACATTCTCTAGATCTGCGATTTCACCTGCCTTGAATGGAGGTGTTAGTGTACAGCAGTGTTCCAGCCTAGAGAGAACAAGGGATTTAAAAAGGATCATCATTCATTGGCTTGGCATCTCTTGTATTGAACATTCTCGTTATCCATCCTATCATTTTCCTCACAGATGTGATAGTGGCACTGTTGTGATCCTTGAAGGTGAGATCTTCACATTACTTTTCCACTCTGTTGTATGATTCGAGTTTGTAGTATGTTCAGTTCTAGCTATTATTTCTACCAGTTTTCCATAATGGAATATGTAGTTGGAATTTGTCTTCATTGAACATCATATTGTTCTCCATTGCCCAACGAAAAACTTGGTTTATATCATCTTGACGATTTACCGTGTTCTCAATGGATGACACTCTCATGCAGATCCTAGTACAGTGGACCCCCGCATAACGATTACCTCCAAATGCGACCAATTATGTAAGTGTATTTATGTAAGTGCGTTTGTACGTGTATGTTTGGGGGTCTGAAAGGAATAATCTACTTCACAATATTCCTTATGGGAATAAATTCGGTCAGTACTGGCACCTGAACATACTTATGGAGTGAAAAAATATCGTTAACCGGGGGTCCACTGTATTGTCTGCAGAGGAGGACAGGGTGCTTGAGTTTACAGCTCTGTCTGTCTGATAAGTGGATGGGGTGAGTAGTGTGCCTTGTGGAACAGAACTCTTCACTATGGCAGCTTCCATTTTAACTCTGTTTACCACTACTCTTTGTGTTCGATTGGTTAGAAAGTTGAAGATCCATCTGCCCACTTTGCCAGTTATCCCTTTGGCATGCATTTGGTGCACTATTACACCATGATTGCACTTGTCAAAGACTTGTGTAAATCTATGTATACTGTATACTACATCTGCACTGTTTGTCTTCCAGTGCATCCAAGACCATATCAAAGTGGTCCAGTAGTTACAAGAGGCAGGAGTGACTTGATCTGAACCCATGATGTCCTGGATTGTGCAACTGTTGGGAATCCAAGTGGTTTACAGTCATGCTTCTTAGTACTCTTTCAAAAATTTTTATGATGTGGGACATTAGAGTTATTGGTCTATAGTTCTTAGCTATTGCTTTGCTGCCACCTTTATGGAGTGGGGCTATATCTGTTGTTTTTAGCGACTGGAATTTCACTCGTGTCTATGCTCCTTCTCCATAGCATACTTAGGGTACGTGAAAGGGGTTTCTTGCAGTTCTAGAAGTCTGGGCCTGGGGCTGAGTGCATCGGCATGTTGTCAATGGCTAGTGGAGTTAGGGTTATGTCAGAAATTTGACAGGGTTTTGAGGCTCATTCATGGAAAAAATCATTTAGGTTGTCGATCTTTAGACTAACTGATTAGTGGCTCACTAAACACAAAGTTGTATTGAGATTTCAGGATCTCACTCATTTCTTAGGTGTTATCTGTGTAAGCTCCATCTTGTCTGAGCAGGGGCCCAATACTAGATGTGATTTTTGCCTAGTTTTTGGCATATGAAAAGAAATATTTATTTTGAATTTCATTCAGTTTCACTAATCCCTTTTAGCTCCTCTTGTCTCTCCTGGATCTTACATGAATCCTTTAACTTAAGTTCAGTATTTCCCGCTTCCCAGGTTAGCTCTTCCTTCCATGTTTCAGATAATATAGCATTCTTGAGATGCTCAGTGATTCTTCACTTTCTCCTATAGAGGAAGCATCTCCCTCTCTCCAATTTACTATTTCTCTTCTTTTTTCTTAGGGGAATATGCCTTGAACATACTTCAGCTGCCAGGAAGTTGATCTTTTCAAGTTGCTGGTTAGGGGTCCATGTTATTTAAGATATCTTCCCAACATGTTTTATTTAGGACATGGTTTACCTGGTCCCAGTTGATGTTCTTGTTGGTGAAGTTGAATTTGGTGAAGGCACCCTCATAGCTGTATGCATTTTGCTGGTCAGGACCCCTCTGCATGTAAGTCTGGACTTCGATTAGATTGTAATCGGAATTAGTTGTTTTTGATATTGTTATGTTTCATACCAGGTCCTCATTATTTGTGAAAATAGGTCAGGTGTGTTCTCCAGTCTTGTTGGCTCCACTATCTGATGGCTTAGGGTGTGTTTACTGCAGAAATTCAGCAGCTCGTGTGTGTGACCTTTCATCTGAGCTGCCTCCGAAGATGATCTTCGTGAATAACCTCCTTCCTCACTTATTTGATGTTTGTGTCTGTTTTTGACATTGATGAATGACCAAAGCATTCATCATCCTCAACTCTGACATTTGTCCTGCTTTGAATCGAGAAAATAATTCAAAACAATGTGTCTTACCCATTGCTTTATCGGCAAACACTTGCTGAAGCATTTTGTGAGTTTCACTAGCCATTTTACCAATCTTGAAACAGAATTTTCCACAAATGCTGCTCTTCCAATGATTCTATTACACAAAAAAGTCAGCAATTCACTGGCATGACAAAAAATGCCCATCTAACCTCAGTGGAATGACTGACAGCACTGAAACTCGCCTTGCTACTTCACAGTGGAGTGTACTTCGCAGCATAATCATTCAACTACTCCCCCCATTAATCTGTTAATGAGAAGGTTCACTCTAAGCTGGAATAACTATAAGTCTGTGTGTATTGTAATATCTCAATATGAATATTGTTCTTATAGGTATGTGACATTAGTGTCGTTTAAAAGAAATTTTACATTTCTGCAACAGTAGTAACTATCCGTTTTTGAAGTCAAGATTTCA